TCAAATCTAGCTTCAATATTTTGTTTGTTTTTTGGCAGTTTTTTTCTTTTGGTTTAATTGGTTTGACTTTTCTTCAGTGGGTGAGATGTTTGGTGAAACTGACTGATTTGTTAAGCTGGTTTGTTTAGTTAATTTATTTGGTTAATTCAATTTGTTTGGTTGATCGGTTTATCATGATGATTGGTTTGGATTGGTTGGTGATTTGTTTTTGTGCTTTTTTGTTTTCATAATTTATTGTGTTATTGTGGTGGTATACTTGGTCTGTTTTGTGTTCTTTTTCTATTTTTACACTTTATTCTTTCCCATTAACACTTTCAGGTAACCAACAGCTTTTCAGAGCTCTTTTAAAAGAGTCAAACTCAATTGAATTTCAATTTTGCTTATTTTAATAGCACAATTTTGCATAATTTCTCATTTCAAGTCACTTTACAGAGAGACAATTTAATAAGATCATACAGACAGATTGGTTATAAGTTTCTATGTAAGCCGATTGTCATTGACTTTGCAGGACTTGCTCCTTCTAGATGTTTAAAATTACGCTGAACAACAAAAATTTGACCTCATCTTACCTTGTTATCATCTTTTATTAGAGCATTGTGTGACAAAATGTGTTAAAGCTGGTGTAAATATTTCTAGACGGTGTTACGAAACAGGAGTTACAACTGTAGGTTAAACAAGTACTTCATCATGACTTTCTGTTTGAGCGTGTTCATCATTGCTTTGCATAGTTTCGGCACCAGTGGGAAGGTGGGGGCTTCTGTTCAAGGGTCCATGCAGCAGCAGGCCAAGTGGGGCCGAGCACAGTGACTCAGAATGTGGGAAAGTCATGAGTGTGTCACCGAGAATGTCAACATATTTTTCGGAAGAGGAGGATGTCTTTGACTAGTGAGAGTAAACAGAGAACAGATCAAGTGTTAATGGCCTTTTCCTGCTTTATAAACTGCACATTGGAAACACTTTGTTTTAATCTGCCTCATAACACATCAGTCTTTGATTCAGGAAAATGATAGCCGAAGATGTCTTTAAGAATTATGGAGAAATGAAAGTTCCCACCTAGTACTGTACTACTGTAATCCCTGATATACTGTATATTATGCTTACCACTGATCAGTCTGTTTTTAATTTTATCTGATTGTGACATGATACTTTAAACTGAAGTGAGGAAATGTTTACCCTTTATCATAGGCCAGAATAAATTATTTATTTCCTATAAGCAGACCGTAATCACTCCATATAATGTATATCAACAAAGCAAATACAATTCTTAGATTTGTACTCTACATTACAAAAATTATCAGGTCAAAAAATTCAATTTGTGAAGTTTGACACTGAAGTACAAAAGACCATCCAACATATCTTACTTCTATTTGTTTAATTTGTATTGTACCTTAACTGCCAAATGGCTGTTGGGTTGATTGACTGTTGGGTTGATTGGCCGTTGGATTAATTGACTATTGGGTTATTTGGCCGTTTGGGTTGATTGAATGTTGGTTTGATTGAATGTTGGGTTGATTGGCTGTTGGGTTGATTGACTGTTGGGTTGATTGGCTGTCGGGTTAGTTGACTGTTGGGTTGATTGGCTGTTGGGTTGATTGGCTGTTGGGTTGATTGAATGTTGGGTTGATTGGCTGTTGGGTTAATTGACTGTTGGGTTGATTGGCTGTTTGGTTGATTGGCTGTTGGGTTAATTGACTGTTGGGTTGATTGGCTGTTGGGTTGATTGGCTGTTGGGTTAATTGACTGTTGGGTTGATTGGCTGTTGGGTTGATTGGCTGTTGGGTTAATTGACTGTTGGATTGATTGGCTGTTGGGTTAATTGACTGTTGGGTTAATTGACTGTTGGGTTGATTGGCTGTTGGGTTGATTGGCTGTTGGGTTATTTGACTGTTGGGTTAATTGACTGTTGGGTTGATTGGCTGTCGGATTAATTGGCTGTTGGGTTGATTGGCTGTTGGGTTAATAGAATGTTGGGTTGATTGGCTGTTGGGTTGATTGAATGTTGGGTTGATTGGCTGTTTGGTTAATTGGCTGTTTGATTAATTAACTGTTGGGTTGATTGGCTGTTGGGTTAATTGGCTGTTTGATTAATTGACTGTTGGGTTGATTGGCTGTTGGGTTAATTGGCTGTTGGGTGTAGTGGCTGTTGGGTTGATTGGCTTTTGGGTTAATTGACTGTTGGGTTAATTGACTGTTGGGTTGATTGAATGTTGGGTTGATTGAATGTTGGGTTGATTGGTTGTTGGGTTAATTGGCTCTTTGGTTAATTGGCTCTTGGGTTAATTGGCTCTTGGGTTGATTGGCTGTTGGGTTGATTGGCTGTTGGGTTAATTGACTGTTGGGTTGATTG